AGCCTTGAGCTGAAGAGCTGAGGGACAGGGCCCAGACCCAGAGTTCAGGCCCCACGACCGGACCCCCCCCCCAAAAAAATAAAAAATTAATACTTAGGTTCCTCAGATTTGGCATTCCTGTTAACTCCTTCACAGTTGCGCTGATGTCTCTCAACTCGTTGTGGTGCAGCAGGAGAATGGACAAGCATGTCAAGTTGCACAGACCTGAAAAATATATTTCCAAAGGTTTTAATCACTTTCTGCTTTTTATTGTTATTTTTAAAACGGAGAGATGAAAATAAACATTTTAACATTAATTTGAGAGGCTAACTAAACAATATACTGATGTCTATTAACCTATTAATGATATACATTATCATGAAGAATAGATGAGCACTGGTGGTGCACACCTATAATCCTAGTTACTCAGGAGGCTGAGTAATGGAATGGTTCAAAGCCAGGCTGAGCAAGAAAGTCCATGAAACTCCTATCTCCAATTAACTATCAAAAAGTCAAGAAGTGGTTGCATATTAACTAATTGATGGTGAAATGGTAACTTAAATTCACTGCTTATCATTGTTATTTTTCACTCATTTTCTAATTTTTCTTGTATGAAATTGTAGGGCAATCTTCTTTCCTTTGCCACTCACTTTTCCCCTTTCTTTTTGCCAGGATCTCTATGTAGTCCAGACTGGCCTAAGACTTGTGATCTTCCTGCCTCAGTCATTTAAGTGTTAAGATTGCAGTCATGTACCCTCATACCCAGCTTGTGTGTGTGTGTGTGTGTGTATGTGTGTGTGAATGTTAGATTCATAATGCCAATCAATGAAATAATTAATCCTCCAGTTGAATGCCTTCTTCTCAATTGTTCAGCTAAGCATTTATAAAGGAGCAGATATTTCCTTTTTGCTAATTGCACATTTTCTACATTTTTACCATAAATGGAAGTCATTGTGATAGTCACATATTTAGTTGAAAATATTTTCTTGGTGACACATGAAATCATTTGTATTTATGATATATAATATAAATGCATTTTGTTCTGTAATCATATAACATGATCAGGGTATATTCTACTTTTTTTCACTGTCAACATTTTTTAAATTTTTAAAAATTATTATCTTTAACTAGTTGTACAAAGAAGTTCCCATTCTACAAAACTATATGAATACAAGGCAACATTTCACCCATCACTCCTAACCCATCCCTTCTCTCATGTTTTTTTTTTTAAATTGAGTTTAAGTGATTACATAAATTTCACGTATTTCACAGTATTGTGGAATAGGCATAGTTAAAGTCACAAACACATTTTAACCTACACAAAGCAAATTGTCATTATCATGGTCTACACAGTTAGTGAATTCTATGAGCTTTGACAATACAATTATTTCTTCCACATCAGGTGATGTTTACATTTCTTTCCTCTTGCTTAGTGTAAGCTGTTCCTTCTTTCCTTTTAATTCCTCCCTTCCCATCGCTGTCTTTGGGTTCCTTAGTTCTTTTTCTTCTATGTCCAGTGCAGCTGATGGGTCCCTTTGTTGTATGTTGTTCCATTTCCCCTGATTCTGTGTCCTCCTCCTGGCTTCCCTCCATTGCGCACATATATCTACCATATATATGGTCAAGAACATGTAGTCATTTAGTAATAATATGACAAAATGAGTGGCTAACCTTTGTTTCTTGAGTCCTGTTTATTTTGTCATATCTTCTTGCGTTTTGGCTTTAGCATTCACATATCAGGGAGACCATGTGCCGTTTGTCTCTTTGTTCTTGGCTTACCTTGCTCAAAATAATTTGCTCTAGTTCCACCCATTTCCCTGCAAATGCCATTATTTTGTCCTTTCTAATGGCTGTATAATATTCCATTGTATATAGGTACCACAACTTTTGGATCCACTCATTAGTAGTGGGGCATCTGGGTTGTTTCCAAATCCTGACTATTGTGAACAGTGCTGCAATGAACATGGAGGTACATGTGTCTTTTTATACTGGTTCCTGTTGTTCAGGGTAGATGCCTAGGAGTGGTATGACTGGGTCACATGGGAGGTCTATATTTAGCTTTCTGAGGAACCTCCAGACTGCTCTCCAAAGTGTTTGTATTTGTGTACATTCCCACCAGCAATGCAGTAGGGTTCCTCTTTCTCCAACCCCTCCAGCATTTGCTCTTGGCTGAATTTAGGATGTGGGCCATTCTGACCAGGGTAAGGTGGTATCTCCAGGTTGTTTTTATTTGCATTTCCTTCACATCCAGGGATGATGAACATTTCCTCATGTGTTTCTTTGCTATTTTTATCTCTTCTTCTGAGAAGTCTCTCTTTAGCTCCCTTGCTCATTTCATGATTGGTTTGTTAGATTTGGGAGGGATTTGTTTCTTGAGTTCCCTCTATATAATGGATATTAGACCCTTGTCTGATATTTTGCTAGTAAATATTTTTTCCCAATTAGATGGCTGTCTTTCTAGTTTGGTTGCTATTTCTTGATCTGTTCAGAAACTTTTTAAGGTAGTCCCATTTATCGAGTCTCTCCAATTTGTTGTGACCCTGGGACTCTGTTCAGGAAGTTCCTGCCAGTGCCTATAAGTTCAAGTGTCTCTCCTACTCTGTCCTGCAGTAGTTTCAGAGATTCAGGTTTGATGTTAAGGTCTTTAATCCATTTTGAGTTGATGTTGGTGCATGGTGACAGGCTGGAGTCCACTTTTAGTTTTCTGCATGTCCGTCCAGTTTTCCCAGCACCAGTAGTTGAAGGCTATGCTTCTTCCACTGTATGTCTTTGGCTCCTTCGTCAAATTTCAACTGACTGTACATATGTAGCTTTATTTCTGGGTCTTCTAATCTGTTCCATTGGTCTTCAGTCTCTTTTTGTGGCAGTACTAAGCTGTTTTTTTATGGATCTATAGTAGAGCTTGAAATCTGGTATTGTGATCCCTCTTGTGTTGTTTCTTTTGCCTAGAATTGCTTTGGCTATTCTGGGCCTTTTGTTGTTCCATATGCATTTTGGACTATTTTCTCTAGTTCAGTAAACTATGTCATTGGAATTTTAATGGAAAATGCATTGAATGTGTATATGAACTTTGGCAATATGTCCATTTTCACTATATTAATTCTGCTTATCCAGGAACACGGGAGGTCTTTCCATTTCCTGGTATCCCCTAGGATTCCTCTTTTTAGGCTTTTATAGTTTTCACAAAATAGACCCTTTACATCTGTGGTCAGGTTAATTCCTAGATACTTTTTTTTGAGGTTATTATGAATGGGGTAATTTCCTTGATTGCCCTTTCTGCTTGTACATTGTTGGTGTACAGAAAGGTGACTAATTTTTGTGGGTTAATTTTGTATCTTGCTACTTTGAAGAAGTGGTTTATAAGCTCTAAGAGTTTGGGGATGGAACCTTTGGGATCCTTAAGGTATAAAATCATGTCATGTGCAAAAAGACGTAAGTTGACTTCTTCCTCTCCTATGCAGATCCCTTTAATGTCTTTTTCTTGCCTTATTGCTCTGGCTAAGAATTCCAGAACTACATTGAAGAGGAGTGGAAAGAGTGGGCATCCTTGCCTTGTTCCTGTTTTTAGGGGAATTGGTTGTTGTTTTTCCCCATTAGGTATAATATTGGCTGTTGGACTGTCATATAAGGCTTTTATTGTTTTAAGGAATGTTCTTTCTGTTCCTATTTTTTCCAGAGCTTTTATAAATGACTTAAAATCATTCTTAGAAATTGATATATATATATCCTTCCAAATATTGTTTAACTTGGTTTATACAATATTAGTTTATGTTCACATGTGCCTTGGAATGGAATATTTCTATGATTAAAATTGATTCTTTGGAATTTTGAAAAAGACACACAATATTGAGCTGGCAAAGTGATCTAATACCACATTTCTTAAAATAAAATGCAAGAACATTTAAAAATAGATTCTATCATTCTTTAAAATTTTATTTTTTGTGCTGGTCCTGGGACTTGAACTCCCTGAGCTTCTTTTGCTCAAGGATAGCACTCTACCATTTGAACCACAACCACTTCTAGCTTTTTGGTAGGTTTTATGGGAGACAAGAGTCTCATGGCCTTTTCTGCTCAGGCTTGCTTCAAACTGCCATACTCACATTTCAGCTTCCTGAGAAGCTAGAATCTCAGGTGTGTGCCACTGGTGTCTGTTTTTTTTTTTTTTTTTTATGCTGGTGAGGGGGCTTTGAAGTCTAGGCCAGAACACTCTCTTTTAGCTTTTTACTCAAGTAAGGTACTTTTCCATTTAAGAAACACTTTCACTTCTGCCTTTGTGGACATTAATTGGAGATAAGAGTCTCACAGGCTTTTCTGCTAGGGCTGGCTTTAAATCACAATCCTCATATCTCAACATTATGAAAAGCTAGAAATACAAGTGTGAACCACTGGCACCTGGCTTTCTCACATGTTTTTAAATAGCAATATTAAAATATATTTGTGTATATTATTAGCAATTACCATAGTTGAAAGTTATTACTTAACTAAAATGTATCTAATAAACAAAGAAAACTGAAGACATACCTTCTATCCCAAAAATTGCGTTGTTGTTTAGATACAGTTCTGTCAAACAATAGTTTCTTGTTAAAAATCCTATCTCATGAAGCTGGAATTAAGAAAAAAATGTTTTACATTCTGTGATAACTATGAATTAATATTTATAATTATAAAAATAAGATGATAAAGATTTGACCTTTGCATCTATTATGAGTTAGCTGTGATTTTTTGGACTGTAGTTGAAGTTATATCTTGATTATCTGTGAGGACCTTTTTTTTTTTGGTTGTAGCTAGGATTACATGCATGAGCCACTGACACCCAGCTTGAAAAAAATGATTTTAATCAATTTAAACTTTTAGCCAGATGCTGGTTGCTCAGGCATGTAATCCTAGCTACTGAGAAGGCTAAGCTCTACAGATTACAGTTCAGAGCCAGCCTGGGCAGGAAAGTCCATGAGACTCTTATCTGCAATAAAAAACTACCAAAAAGCCAGAATTGGAGCTGTGGCTTGAGTGGTAGAGCAATAGCCTTGAGCAAAAGCCTTGAGCACAGTCCCTGAGTTCAAGCCCTAGTACTGGTACACCACACACACACACACACACACACACCACACACACACACTCACTCACTCACTCACAGAGCAACAACAACAAAACCAAACTTTTTATACTCATCTTAAACTAACTCGCTTTGCCTGGATTCCACAACCACTGTAATCTGGCTCAATCCTTTAGTTTTAATCACATTTCTCCTAGTTCTGCTGCATTTAGTCATTTAATCTCACTTGGTCCAATATTCCATAATCTTTTTTTTAATATATATTTTTATTGTAAAGATACTGTACAGAGGGGTTACAGTTATATGAGCAAGGTAATGAGGCCATTTCCTATGGAGCATTGTTACACCCTCCTGTGTTTTCCCCTACCATCCTTTCCCTCCCCACCTTTATGATGTGAGCCTTAGTGTTGTGTCCATTTCTGCATCTATACTAGTCTTATTTTCCTTTGTTTCTATGTCCTTTAATCCTGGCACAGGACATTTTGTCCTGGTTCATTTTTTATATTTTTAAAAGCCTCCAGCCAGCAAGATACACTGAACCTTGCATGAATGGATTGCACAGTATGTTTTGATAATTCTAGAGATTTGCTAAACCATCCTTTGATGTCTTTTCACTTCACAACTATTTTATAGCTCTATTTTAACAAACTTTTGTGTTTCTCTGAACTGCCCATTCTAGAACTTTGAATCATGTACCATTGCACTCAACTATTGGTTGAAAAAGGGTCTTCCACATAGCTGGTTTTATACCATGATCTTCCCAACCTCAGTCTTTTAGCATTACAGGTGAGTTATTACCATACAGCTACTTCCTTTTTCCTTTCCTCCCTCCCAACGAACATCATATTTTTTTTAAAACTGAGTTTATAATCTTGATAAGACTTCACATATTTATTTGAATTATCCTACAATGTGGGAGAGCCACGAAGGAAGGGAAAGTATGTTGAAAAAGCAGCGGAGAAGGTCAACAAGTGTATGACATTTTTACTATTTAATATAGACTGTATTGAGAAAATTCTCATGAAACAGTTATTGGCCAAATATTTCATACATTATACAGATAAAAATGCTTGTTTGCAACTATAAATTTGTTTTTAAAAGCTTATCATTGCTGGGTTCTTGTGGCTCATGGCTATCATCCTAGCTACTTAGGAGGCTGAGATTTAAGGACTGTGGTTTGAAGCCAGCCCAGATAGGTAAGTCCATGATACTTTTACCTCCAGTTAACTTGAGTTGTGGCTCAAGGAGTAGAGCACTAGCCTTCAGCACAAAAGCTCAGGGACAGAGACCAGGCCCTGAATTCAAATCCTGAACCAACACACACACACACACACACACACACACACACACACATACACACACACAAGCTTATCATAGCAAGTATTATTATATTAAGCCCCACGACCAACAAAAAAAGAAAGTATTATTATAAACTGTTTTATATTTAGTTCAATAGATGCTATTTTATCTGACAGGATTTACTAACAATAAATATCATTGGATAACATTGTGCTTAGAAATAAACCAGTTCTCACAGGCCACAGGTACTTCACAATTCTCCTTACTATTGCTATCATTATTATTTTATTTTGGTGGTTGTGGGGTTTGAACTCAGGATGTCGTGCTTACCAAGCAAGCACTTTACCACTTGAGCTACATGCTCAGTACTTTTTGCTTTAGTCATTTTTCAGATAGGATCTTGCTTTTTTGCCTAGTCTTTCCTGGACTGTGATCCACCTATTTATGCTCCCTATATAACTGGGATGACAAGCATGTTATCCTCATGCTGGATTTATTGGTTGAGATGTGCTCTCTGAAATATTTTGCACAGGCTGACTGCAAACTTTAATTCTCCAGATCTCCACCTCCTAAGGAGCTAGGGATGGACATGTGAACCACGGCACCTAGCCATGATCCCACTTACAAGGTATCAAAATAGTCAAACACAGAAACAAAGAGGAGAATAGTGGTTGTTGGGAGATTGAGGGGATATTACAGAGCTGTTGATCCATGAATATTAAATCTCTCTTATGCAAGATACATAAATGCTAGAGATCTGCTATAAAATATACTATGAACAGTGTGGTATTGTGTATTTAAAAGTTTGTTTAGGAGGAAAGCATGAGTCTGTGGGAGGGTTAGACCTGGCAACAGAGGAGTAAATGTTACCAGTTGGGGAAAATGTAAAAACAAAAAAATTTTTTAGAAGGCTAATCTCATGCTGAATATTCTTCCCACACACAAATAAAGAAACAGAAGCAACAGAAAGCCTATGGATCTTTCTGAAGGATGGTTATGTGCTTTCCTTGATCATAGTGATGATTTCATGGGTACAGGCATATGTCCAAACTGATAAAGTATATGCATTGAACCTGTGCAGTATTTTTGTGTGTACTGGTTATACCTGTTAAAACTGTTAAAATATGACCTTTAATAATACATAAATATAATAGGAAATGTAAATATATCTGAATAGAAAATACACAAATATATATTTTAAAACAGAAAAAGAGAAACTGATATGAGGGAAGGGCTAGGAGAGAGTGAGGGAACAGAAGACACTGTATGGAAGAACATGTAGTCATTAGAGAGCTCATGGAGCTATAATTCCTCTGTACATCACTTTTATGATAACAATAAAGTAAACTGCTGAAAAAGAAAATATCACCTTATCTATAAATGTAACAAAGATTTAGAGAAAAATAACCATCAGAAATTAAAACCCGAAAGTAGATATTAATAGGTGCACTGGCTTGAATCTAAAGTTCATTAGTCTTCATCTCTAAGACTCTCAGCAAAAAAAACAAGGTGGAGATGTGGTTCAAGATGAGTGCCGGCCTAGCAAGCACAAACTTCATACCTTACTTTTGCCGAAGAAAAGAAAAAGAAACAGAAGGACCAAGACTGTCTTCAGAGTTGGGACAAAATTGGAGCTGTACATAGTCCTGAGAAAGCCACAAAGCCATAAGCAGACTTCAAGAAAATGAAAGTAACTAAATTCATTAAGTATATTTCATCCACTGATAAATTAGGGTTGAATAAGAGATAATGGCAGTCATAAAAGGTTTGTGAGGGCTGCCATTGCAAATGTCACAGAGCTATTGGCTTAAAACAGAAGAACCTTTTTCCTCATAGCTGGAGAGGCTGGATGTCTGAGGCTTAGATGCCCAATGAGATTGGCCTTATTCTGATGCTTCTCTATTTGACTGGCAGATGGCTGTTTCCTTTCATGCCCTCACATGATTTCCATGTGTTGTTCATAGGTCTAGTGTCTTTCTGTATCCTAATCTCTCTCTATTTTTTTTATAAAGAAACCATCACTTTGGATTAGGACTGACTCCCATTTTAAATTCATTATTACTTTACATGCCTCATCTCCCCAAAAGAGTCCCATTCCGAGGCACTAGAGATTAGGACTTCAATATATGAATTTTGGATGTACACTTTAACCCATAACCTAAATAAAATTTAAAAATCAAACAAATGTAAATACTGGGGAATTGGAGGAAGTACAATAAAGCAAAAGTGGAATATAATACATTGTTAAGCTCTGAAAAGCATAGCTTGTCCTAATAATATAACAAGTGAACATTGATTTAACCCAATTTATAATACAACAACATCTGGAGAGTGGTGAATGGAAAGTATGCCTGTGTGTGGTAGAAATGGGGAAAAGAAAGAAAATGAACTGAGCCCTGTTTTCCTTAGTGAAAACAAATAGCTATTGTCTAAAAGAGAATAATCAAGACATGGAAGAATACCAATGTGCTTTAGAGAAATGTCATAGGAAACTATCACTGAAAAGAGTTGAAGTGGTTTGCATATGACAAAAAAAGTGGGACCAGGTATGTGGAACTGTTGCTAACTGGGAAAAATTAGCTAATTCTTTGAAAATAACTTTTCAAGACAGATGGGATTCTAATATTTATTCTGTGGATATTGTATGTGAGTTCTTTATTACTTTGTGTATACCAACTCATTTATTTTCACAACAACTCTTAAAGTAGTTACAAAGGACAAAACCTACATATTAAAAAAGAGATGGTATGATTTGCTAAGTATTTCAACTCATTAGTGACAGATCCTAGCTGTTTCCACAGTTCAACTAAATAATTGCTCTTTGGCTCATGCTTGTACTCTTAGCTACTCAAAAGACTGAGATCTGAAGATTGTGGTCTGAAGCCATCTTTAGCAGGAAAGTCCATGAGACTTTTTTTCTAGTTGGTCATGGGCCTTGAACTCAAAGCCTAGCTAGGCACTGTCTCTGAGCTCTTCCACTCAAAGATATCTATCACTTTGAGAAACAGCTCCACTTCCAATTTTCTGGTGATTAATTGGAAATAGAGCCTCATGAATTTTTCCTGCTCAGGCTGGCTTTGAACCATGATCTTCAGATCTCAGCCTCCTGAGTAACTAGGATAGAGCCCAGGCCCTGAGTTCAAGTCCAGGATTGGCACTACTACTATTACTACTACTACTACTACTACTACTGGCTCTGTTCTAGGTACTCTGAGAGAAATTAATTCAGATATTGGTATTTGATTTTCAGC